CTGCCGACAGAATTAAAATTAAATCTACATGTGAAAAATGTAACAAATACTTTGAAAGTTTTCGATTCTTGGCCTTTGACCGATTCTTTCATACTACGACCACCTGCGCACGATTGTGATTGCTGAAAATTTATCTTTTCTTTTGATTTACATTTTCATTCAAATCTTTTTTCTCACTGCCTTTAATAATTAAAACACTTAATAGTTCTCCCAATAATTTTAAAACAAAATTGATAAAATGATAACAATAATAATAAAAAAATTAAATCAAACCTCACTAAGAATTTTTTCCTCGATGAAAACTGTAAGTCGATCAACAAAGAAATGAAATGAGGGCTTTTTATGCAAAATCGTTTCTACTATTACTTCAAAATAACCAACAACACGACGTGCATCTTCTTCACTTAACCATTTGAAATTCGTACTGTTCACTTCATTTTTGAATTTTTGCAATAATTCACTCATTTTTTTCCGCAATTGTTGATGAAATATTTCTGATTGCAACGTTTGAAAATCTTTGCTTTCAAGAATTTTTGTAACCTTCTGAAGGTGAATGTAAAGCTTCAAATTATCCTCGCATGATTCCTTTAGCATAATTTCATAACGTCGTGTCATCGATTTACTCGATTGATACAATTGTTCTTTTATCTTTTCGTTTATTTCCGTCCAACGTCTCACATCATTTTCTTTCTCTCGAAGACGTTTTTTGAAATTATTTCGCATGTCCTAAAAATTGATCATTCAAAATATTACACTTGGATTTATGTTTAGGTCATTTAACCAAAAATTAAAAATAAAGTCCTATTAGGCGGGTATGTGTTAGAACTGAAAATTTTCATTCATTCATTCGTTCACTTATCGATGAATATTTTGAATAAAATTAAATTGAACTTTTTTGTTAGCATTACTCATAATTTATCCTTCTATTTTTGCGATTGATTGCATTTTCTTGAATTTTTTTTATAAATTAAATTTTTGTTTACTAAAAATTTACCACTATGGTGAACACGTATTGATCACATTCCTTCTTCTTTCTTTCTGTTTCTTTTTCCAAAATACTAATTTTTTCCTCGACTTTTAGTAACTGTAATTTAATTGACCGTGTTATCCGTCTTTAATTTGCATTAATGAATTTTCAGAATTTTGAATTCAGTTTAATGTGATGGAATAAAGAAATGCTTACTTCTATTTTTAATCGTTCTTTTTCCCTGCAATTTTTTTCCAATTCCTTTTCATATTGACTTCGCTGAATTGCTATTTCATTTTCAAGCTCTTCAATCTTTTTTTTCAATTCTTCCTGCAAAAAATGTTTTCAAAATAAAATAAACAAGTTTGAATCTTTTACATTTTTACGACCTACAACACTTCCGCTCATCATACGTAATTGGTAGTTTAATTTATTTTATGCTCTTTTTCTTATTAGTGTTTTTCCAATACCGTTTCTTAACTGTTGTTAAGAAACTGTCAAACTATTACTGTCTATTTAAAACAAATTGTAGTTTTGCAAAATTTGTGAAAAATCCTCAGCTAATAATATTATCGATATTTCCAAACTACCAAATGTCAACTATCATGAACTTTAGTCTGAGTTATCTTTTTACTTGTTCCTTTCTTATCTTTTCTTTAGAACTGTAGTAGCAGTAGTGTGAAAAAAATAAAAAATTTTACAACATATATTTTTTATGCTGATGATGGTAGGTGATAAAAATGTTTTCAACTTTCTTTTAATTTCAATTAATCATAAATTATAGATGGAAAAATTACTTAAATTGCCAGCATTGTTATCATACCTTTTTCGAGAAAATTTCAGGACCAGATGTTTTTATTTTCAATTTTGATTTCACTTCCCTTTCTAATTCTTTCAACTAAAAAATTACAGTGATATGAAAAATATTATAAATATAATAGTAATGGTGAAGAGATATTATTATCAATAAATTAAACAATACCTGTGCTGCAAGAATCTTTAACTCACGTTCTGCGATTTTGCAACCTTGACAATCGTTTTCTCTTTGAGCAGTATGTTTTGCGTTTTCTAAAGTTCAAAAGTCATATTACATTTAAACAATATAGCGTATCAGAATGTTTTTAGGTTTTGAGAGGTTAGATTAATATTAAGATAGGTATGGCAAGTTTAAATTCCTAGACCATCGAATGTATGCTCATGTAAATGCAAATTTTTTTCTACCTTCAAAAGCTTTTTTCTTTTTTGTTTTTTGTGAAGAACGATCAATATCGGTTGATTTTCTCGTTTCACTCAATAAATCTTTCCTGTCATCTCGAAGATACCCTTCCATATCCTTCAATATTTCTCTTCACTATTTCAAATTATAATATTATAAAGATGAAGTAATATATTTGATTAAAAAAAAAGTCTCGTTGACACATACCGTTCTTCTTCGTATCGGTGTAACGTCACACGACTTACTTTGATCAATATGAATGTTACATAATTCAACTTCCGGTATTTTCATTGTAGTACAAATATTCTGTAGAAATGATCCAAATAGCTTAACAATTTTATAAATATTGCTTAAAAAAATGGAAGGAAAAAATTAGCGATAATTCATTTTCTTTGATAATTGATTGCTTCATAAAGTCATACTTACTTCTTGTTCATTTGATTTTTCTGGTTTTTTGATCACGTTATCGATTCCCTCGTTTTGGACATCACTCTTTCGAACAGCTAAGCTTCCACAAGGCTGAAAATAAAACATTTCATGAATATTTCGGAAATCGAATTCAATTTGAAGTTAGCATTTTAATTTCGAACACTGATAAATAAAAGTCCATAATAGTGTCGATTAGAAAACCAATACTGAGCAATCGGAAATAGTCAGAGAAGCAGACAAGTGTATATTCATACCATGTAACAAAAAAGGATTAAATCTTTAAATAACAAGAAAGGGTCAATGAACTTTGACATATTAGTCAAACAGTTTTTCTTATGTGTTATGGGAAAAATGAGAAGCATAATTATTCAAATAAATAAAAATATCGATCAATTTATGCTATCATTTCAAAACAACTGTTTTTAACAAATCACAATAAGCATAAACTGACCATTTAAATAGCCAGTGTTTTTTTTTTAAGACTCTTAAGAAGGTTTACGATGTTTAACGATAATCAATAAAATATGAAAATAAGGAAAATATCGGTCTAAGACTTTTCTTTTAGTTAATCATCCAAAACTTTTCCTAAAGATATCAAAAGTAAATCATAATTGTTTACTTACACTTTCCATATTTATGCTTACTTCTGATAATACCGTTTTTGCTGTTTGTTCATCTTCTCTCTTTACTTTCTGAAATTATTCTCTTAACCATTTTGGATTATTCGCTAATTGGGCATATTTCTAATTATAAAGGTATAACAAAAATAATTGGAGAAGAGGAAAGTTTAACTTTTCTTGTAAAAAATAAATCAAACAAAAGATGAAAAGGAATCACCGCTTCTGGTGATGATTTATACGGCAATGACGTGGTAGTGCTATCAGCTTTCTTCATTTTCTTAAATTTTGTAAACGTTTAACTAAGGCTACTAACAAAAATAACATTGAAAATTGTCCAATTATATGGTAAATTTTGTTCTTTGACGATTTCGTTATTTTTAAAATATAGCGAAATCTATCAACTTTAATAAACAATGACTAAAACCCATAACTTTAATAAAATTAAATTTTAAAAATTGTGCTCGAGGAAAATACTAACTGGCAAGATCAATTTATCGTTTACAACATTCATGATAAATAAAAACAATTTCAACAAGGAAACTTCTCAAATTTTGGTTTGTTTATTTTCCAATTTAATGGAAAATTTAACTTAAATAATTCACTTAAAATGAAGCCTTTCACATTCATCTTTCCGGACGTGTTAAATATGATAGGGACGAATAACATAACAATAAAAAAAGCTATTTGAAAGCAGCCAGTGAATTATGATTTCAGCTGAATCAAAAAATGAACGAATATAAATTAAAACTCTGTGTTTAACAGAGTTTTAATTTATATTCGTTTTGAACAAACTAAATGACAACTTTATCATTTTTATCCCAAATACATTCATTAAATCTACAAAATATTATCAAATCTCTATCAAATATGAATAATCCAACCATTCGTCTGCTTTCGCTGAGTTGATAATGCGCAATAATTGCGACATTGGCGCTTTTTAATAGATATTTGCCAGGAAGATTGTGCAGTAAATATTGATTGATAATTATAATAAAAGATAATTTCTTAATTGTGATAATATTTTGCATAAAAAAAATTAAAAAACTGATCATATCAATTGCTAAATTTTTCTATTTGAAAATGCGTCAAATATCTCAATTAGTTCTCGTTAATTTTTTTTTTTTTTGTTTTGTTCATATTTTATTGATTTGTTAAATTTTTCACTATGACAACAATTACTCAACAAAAATGCTGTAGAAATAAATCCTTTCATATTTCACTTCATCATTTAAAATTTTAAGAAATTTAACAAATTTCGATCAATTTTTCAAATAGATTTGATATATGAATCAAATTAATTTTCAAACTTAAAATTAAATTAAATGAAGAAAAATGCGAAGATAAGCGATATTCAATGTTTATTTCTATAATCATATTTGATGATTCTGAAAAACTGAAGAACTTTTTTTTCTGCTTATTTCATCAAATTTTTTGTAAAAAATCAATTTAGAGAAAATGTACTACAAATTTATCATTCAAATTCGATCATTCTTTTTTACTATCTTCAAGTGCATTCGATCATCCCTTTCCACTATCTTCAAGTGTAGGAAATGAAATTTTTTGAAATGAATTTTTGAAATGAAATGAAAAAAGAAACGATA